TAAATTCATATTATTGTACTGTGTAAAATGTAGTAGGATAAATAATTTGAGCAGATTTATAAAACGCCAAAAGTTTCACTTTAATCATCAAATCTGTGAAGTGAGTGAGGGAGAATTTGCATTGTTTGTGGAGTGACAGGGACCTCTCGTGGTCATGATTGAAACAACATTTCTGTTTGGGGTTTCTTAAGGGGTCATTTCTTTTAATCAAAGATTGTATTCTTGTTTCTTTTTACAAATTCATAAGTAGTATGAGCTATTTAAGAGGGGGACAGGAAGAGTGAAATAATGAACTTAATAAAATAGTTATTAATAAACTTGTTTACTTTTTTGTACAATTAAAATCACATTGGCTTTCAAAAGTACATATTTAATAATATAGGAATTAAATAAAACTCAAATAAATTTTGAGTAAACTTTAAAACTTTGATTACAACAAATATAAAATTGTTTAAAATGAATATGATTTTATAAAAAAATATATAATAACTGAAACAACTATAGTATAGAAAAAATTTAAATAGCATAAGAAAATATAATCCAAATGAAATTTTAGAGCCATTTATGATGTTGTTTTTACACAAATGGGTTATTATAACTGTCCCTCACTATGATTTAGAATTTTGGGAGTTTTAGGAGAGAATGTGCTGACCTCCACTAGCATTCAGGTGTGTTAAGAAATAACACAGGTTGTGTTTTTATAATAAATCTATTTTAAGAGTGCATGTGTTTTTAAACGGGGATCCCCAACTAGGAAATAATAATGATATTTAGTATATCAAGTGTTTGGGGGAAAAAGCCCAAAACAATGTAAATAAATAAGTCTAACATTTCCTAAAGTATACAGAAATCATTAAATTAAAAATGTATATATATATATATATATATATATATATATATATATTTTTTTTATTTATTCATTTTCAGGACTTGGTACAGCTGATTGAACCACCAATTCATCCAGCATATGTTTTACACAGTGGATGGCCCTCCAGCTGCAACTCAGTACTGGGAAACATCCATACACTCTCACATGCACATACATAGACTACGGCCAATTTAGTATAATCAATTTCCCTACAGCGCATGTCTTTGTACTGTGGGAGAAACTGTTACCCAGAGGAAACCCACACGAACATAGGGAGAACATGCCATGTCCACACAGAAATGGCAACTGACCCAGCCGTGACTCAAACAAGCGACCTTCTTGCTCTGAGGTGGCAGTGCTAACCACTGAGCCACCGTGTCGCCCTTTATAATAATACAATAGAAAATATAATTGAAACAAACATTAAAATGAATCATTCACAATTTCATAAAAAAAAGATTCAAACAATATTAAAATTATCCATAATATTATTAATTAAATGTGTAAATAAAATAATACTTAAACTAATGAGTCTGAAAAAAAAATTCTGTTACCTTGATAACTTAATCTATTTACCTAACCTGGTTATTTCCCTTTCAGAAACTGCTTACCCAGTTAAACCTACCCAGAAATCAGGCCAGTGTTAAACCGACTTTGAATAAGCAGTGAAAAGGTTAGTGGAGGTTGATTAGTCAGAAGTTTAGTCTTATGCTTGTTGAGTTTGACTAGGTCATTGATCATTTCTTTCTTTCTTTCTTTCTTTCTTTCTTTCTTTCTTTCTTTCTTTCTTTCTTTCTTTCTTTCTTTCTTTCTTTCTTTCTTTCTTTCTTTCTTTCTTTCGTGAATACACTTAATTTGTCAAGGATGTACACAGTACAGTTTTAAAAACAAAACTTATTTCCATTGAAGTTGTAATGATCCTTGAAGTTTATTGGGATTGTTATGTTCCTTGGTTTGACACTGCATGTACACAAAAAAAAAAAAAAAAAGAATAAATAAAATCAACCAATTGCTTTTGTCTGGTCTTATCATCACTTTTTCTTGTTCCTTGATGTTCCTCCTGGATGTTCCTGTGCCCTGAGATGTGGATGTGCTTGTGATGTTTACTTATTTGCTTAAATTCTTCTTGTTATTACTGCTCAATCATTACATTGTACTATCATCATATAGACAAAAATAATTTGTTATTAAAAAGTTAGTTATTAAAACTATTATGTTTAAAAAATTGTTGGTTAAAAAACCTTCTCTCTTAAACAATTTTTATTTACAACCTGTGGATGATAGCATTGCAGCAAGTGTAACTTAACTGCCTAAAGGGAACTGATTTTTACAAATTGAAGATTTTTTACAAAAAAGATTTTGAACAATTCATTCATTCATTTTCTTGTCGGCTTAGTCCCTTTATTAATTTGGGGTTGCCACAGCGGAATGAACCGGCAACTTATCCAGCAAGTTTTTATGCAGCGGATGCCCTTCCAGCCGCAACCCATCTCTGGAAAAACATCCACACACACACACTCATACACTACAGACAATTTAGCCTACCCAATTCACCTGTACCACATGTCTTTGGACTGTGGGGGAAACCAGAGCACCCGGACGCGACGGCAGGGAGAACATGCAAACTCCACACAGAACGCCAGCTGAGCTGAGGTTCGAACCAGCGACCTTCTTGCTGTGAGGCAACGGCACTACCTACTGCGCCACTGCCTCACCGATTTCGAACCACAACTTGGCATTTTGTCTCAGTGTACAGTAATTATATATTTATAGTTTGATGGTATTTTTATGTACATTTGTTAAATGAAATGTGTTACATTCCTTCCCCTTTTTGACTAGGGTTGGGGAAGGAATATAACAAAGAAAATTAAAATTTCGAATTTAAGGAAAAGAATACCAAATTCATAAATTGCGTATAAATTAAATAAACAAATTGAGGGAACAATTCAATCCTGCCTCAGAAATGTGAAACAACCACAAGAGTAAACTTAAATATTTTATTCTTTGGTTCTTATTCAGTAAACAATAAATGAAGCATAAATATTCAGGAGAAGGATTAAATCAAAACAACAAAACAGATCTAGCTAGGAGGAGTACTAAATAACCTAGTTTCAGGTTAAAGAAAAGAAACAACAAAGGCTTTCCTCAACTCCCTTACTATGAATAAACACAGTCAAACAAGTACAGAAATAAAAATGGCACACTCTCCCTACAGCTTAAACTTGTAAATCAAAATGTCAAGACAAAGAACAATACAATTTCCTTTTAAATACCACACAGAAAAAGTATATTTCATTTATACATCTAAGAAAGCACTGCCTTTAAAGTTCCACAACACAAGAGAAACACCAAGTTTCTTCAAAGACAGAAGTTAAATTGGACCCAATAGTTTGATAAACTTCTTTCTATATACAACAGTATCAATGCCTACAGAGTACAACCACGGCAACCACAAGTCTTGAGCAGGGGAGAAATGAACCTCTCCTTGGGTTGAGGCACACTGCTCTTTTGTCGCAGCATGTTACTGAAGTGCGCTCCAATGTTGAAAACCACCTGAGCCAAATCAGCTCTACCTAGTGAGCAGGCAGAGAGACATATTGGAAGAGTAGAAGAGAATCACACAACATAACCACTCCCAATGGGCAGTAAACACACATATAAACAATAATAAATACATCCAAGGGATGTAACAAATGGGAATCTTGCAGTTCTGACACAATTGTTCAAACAAATATTAAAACATTAATTCTTTATTTCTTTGGTTTCTAAAATTATATTTTTTTCTTTTTCAGAACTGGACATTCAAATGTGGGTAAACCTCTATTTCAAACAGAAATTTCCAATTTTATTTTACAAAAAAAAAAAAAAAAAAAACACCATATCTATGACTTAATTGATAAATCTCAAATGTATCATTTCTCCTTCTGCTTTTTTTATTTTTATTTTTTTAGGAAAAATAAAGTTGTAATTTTATGTAATAGAACAAAACAGAATAAAAATGGCCCATTATTATCAGTTGTGTATTATAAACAGGGACGTTTTCAGAATATGATAAAACATTTTCCTCATAGTTTCCCTAAAGACAACATCTTTGGTACACAAGATGTTTTTCTTGTATTTTTCCATAGTTCCAGAAATGCAATGCATTTTTTGTTAGTTTGTTTTGCTACATTTTACAACATTAAACACAGTAAAATCAAAGTTTCTCATTGTTCTTCTCCAAATATATCCATGAATTCAAGCTTCCTTGCTCTTTGTAAAATAACAAGTTTGTAATGTTGACAACAATCACAGTAAACATTTGTTTCTTGTCTTTTTAAGGATATATTGCAAAATAAATCTTTTAAATATCACTGTAAAAAAGTTGCTGTTTTCTTACTGAATTTCTTAGTTTTTCCTCCTTTCCTAAGTGTTAAGTCGTTCCCACTTTAAATTAAGTGGCCTTAACTAATATGTACTTACACATGAACTAATAGTTTGTTGCAATGTACTTATTGTGTAAATACATGTATTTACTGTGTTCTCAAATACATTATAAACACAGTAAGTACATTGTATTTATTTTTTTGATGTAAATACATAGTAGTTAAGGACACTTAATACAAAGTGGGACCGTTAAGTCTTATATGTCTATCAGGTGGTGATCTTCAAAGTGAAAATGTATTAATCTACTCTATATAACCAACCCATATTTCCACATATGTTTTTGTCATTTATTTTCTCTCTTTCTTTTTTCTTTTGGTAACACTCTTGTCATTTATTGCATTATTGGTTGATGTTTTGTTCTATATAAATGAATCATTTTCAGTATGTTTTTATCATCTTTTGTGTTGTTTGTCTTTTTATTGTTCAGCAGTTACCGATCTCACATAAGTGTTATGTCTCGTCCCATTTAACATGACAAACCCATAACTGTGTACACACATCGATATGCCATTTAACACATTATAGATGTAAAGAAAAAGTGTGTGTATTTTAATCTAATTAAAGGATTTACCCATATGGCCCAAAATTATTACAACAATCATGTCTATCATGTCAAACCACTTCTAAAATCCCAACTTCCCCAACTTTCTTCCCACAAAAGTACATGAGGGGAAAGAAAGTTTATTTAATCATGTGAATCGTACTGTCATGTTTATGAAGATTTATTAATAATATCCAGTCCATGTTAAACACCACAGTTTCCAATATTTAATGGTCATGATATGTTTTACATCCCTAAATCAGAAAACATCAGGACAGTATGGAAAATACAATTAAATGAGAGTAGCAATTTCTAAATTTACTTAGACTTGTATTTCATTGCAGACAATACGACAAACATTGTTTAATGTATTTCTCGTGATTAAAAAAACAACAACATATTTTTCAGCAAATTTCTAAAATATTGGAACAGTTCAGCATGTACCACTTTGTATTGTTGCCATTCCTTTTTACAACACTTAAAAGACATTTAGGGACTGAAGACACCAAGTGATGAAGTTTTTCAGGTGTAATTTTGACCCATTCTTCCTGCAAACAAGTTTAAGGTGAACAACAGAACTGGACCTTCTTTTTTTGTGCTTTAAAATGTGCCACACATTCTCTATTGGACACAGGTCAGGACTGCAGACATATACTAATTAACTAATTTAGGAACTAGTGAATAAGGGTGTGTGGTGAAATTTCAGACATTCCGGTTACTTACTCGAAAACCAAGGTTAGATCTATCACAGTTATTTTCTGTGTTTTGTCCAGAAATGAGCCGTTAATCTTTTCATAGGTTTTCACTTTAGATTGTACAGACTTTTACTGTTAAAATCGCAGACATTTTTTACAGTGTAGAAGACATTAAATAGATCAATGAAAACTTCAGGTGGTTTGGTCAACCCACTTGAAGCTCAAGTCCCAGCCACTTAGAGCTGACCTGCCCATTTTGAGCTTCTCCTGAGCTCGATTATTTTACAGTTTACTGCTATTTACTCTGAAAAATTGTTTAATGATCCTCTGCTGAGACTGAAATGGTTTTATTTTAGTTAATTTTATTTAATGCTGTAACTGAAAGCACCGTTTGTGCTTATTGTTTTTCTGCTGTTGGTTACTTTCTTGAAAACAATAATATTATCCAAAATGTTTTAACAGAATATTACTGTTTTGGTGGGAAAAAATGTATTTTCCTGTAGAATCTAAGTGTTTTTAAAAGTTTTTTTATTTACAGTGTTGCAGAGAGAGCTCAAATGAGCTGTGACTTAAGCTGTGACACATGCAAACAGCAAAACACTAGCAAATTGATAATTGAATATCATCAAATGTAAAAAACAAAACAAAAAAACAAACAAACAAAACAACAACATTGAACCCAGTTTTAAAATACACAGTTACTTAAAATGATCAGTTTGTCAATTTACTTCCATATCTACATTGTAGTTGAATGCTTTAATAAAAAAGAAAGTTCCAGTCACGATACCCAAAAGTCCAAGAGACAGAGCCACTCCACAGAACACTGATGGTCCAACACTTGGGATGGCAACATCAACATCTGGTAAAATACATTAATTCTATTTTTAATATTCTAAATATTCTGTTTGAGGATGCAAGAAAATTACAACAGATGAAAATATTGTTTTTAACATAATAAGAGTTGAACTAAAAAGATACAACATCCTCATACTCACCATATATTTTGGCCTGAGGTTGACCAAGAAGTGCTTCATGGATCACTCTGCAGCTGTAAATGTCTCCCTCAGCTGGTGTGAACCTAAATGTGGAGAAGATGTTGAAGGTCCCATCTACCCTTGGACGATACTGGCTTAAACTAATGCCTTCTGTCACATTGACATTATTCATAGTCCACAAGATTCTAATAGACGGAGGATAGAATCCAGTCGCATGGCAGACAAGAGTGTTCTGAACACCCAGCTCAACATCATCTTTTGGATATATAGATGTCTGTGGTGGATCTAGAAACACAAATAACTGCATTAGTTTAAACAAATATTGACATCACCATAACTTAACAAAACTTGGCACTGGATATATAACAATTTAATTTCTGTTCCCACACACACAAAAAAAAAAAAAAACTCAAAGTGGAGTGACCTTCAGTGAGAATACTTTATTATAAAAAAAAATAAAGCACATCTTAGGTTATGCAGACACGCAATCTAAACATGACAAATGAACGCACAATTTACACTAACACTGAGGAGAAGAAACTGTTAAGTAAAGTAATTTCTGTTTTATGTACACAAAAGTATTCTAATTGTTGATAATATTCTAATTGAACCACTAAAGCATGGGTCTCAAACTCAATTCCTGAAGCTCTTCAGCTCTGCAGAGTTTTGCTCCAACCCTAATCAAAACGCAGTTAATCCAAATAATCAAGGTGTTCAAGACTACTAGATATTGTTAAGCATGTTTGATAAAATCTGCAGAGCTGTGGCTCTCCAGGAATTGAGTTTGGGACCACTGCATTAAAGCAAAAGGTTTTCAGGATATTTTTGGTACCTTTCTGGACTTTAAAGAGTCAGAAAGTTTGCTTTCTATCTATGTAGGATAAGGGAGCTCTCAGATTTACTCAAAACACAATCTTTTCTGTTCTGAAGTCAAACGAAGGTCTCAAGGATTTGAAATAACCTCAGGATAATTCATAATATGATCTTTATTTTTGGGTCATCTAACATTTTAATGACAATTGCAATTCTGCATATATTTTGTAGCTTTTATATAATATTTTGAAATATTAATTAATTATTTGTGACTTGGTTTAAAATATGAATAAGAATCAGTAAAAATGTTATCATAAATTAACCCTTTTTAATGTCTTTTAGGTTTTTCTTTCAGACAATTAGATGTTGAAATGACGTTCCCTAATGGTGCAGAATGAAGGTTTTTATGAAAATTTTTGGACTCTTAGATGAAATCAACTAAAACATTAAATCTCATGAAATCTCAGCAGAGGATCAACAAACAACTCAACAGCATCAGCAGCTTAACTTATTGTATTATTAACTTGTTGGACATAATTACTGTCAGAGGTCTACAAACTTCCCCTTCACATTTATTAAGAGTTAAATGCTTTGGTTGTTTTATTGAATAAACAGGTTTTCGGAATAATCTTTACAGTCAATCGTGGTTGCTTTACTCGGGGTCACTCTTTTAAAATGAGCTAAATGATGTGATTTGTTATGGCAAGAAGCAGCTTGTAAATGCTGCTGGGTCATTTAAAAGTTTACTTTAATGATATATTTGCCACTGTCCCCTCACAGCAAGAAGGTCACTGGTTAGAGTCCAGGCTGGGCCAGTTGGCATTTCTGTGTGGAGTTTCCATGTTCTCTCCGTGTTGTTGTGGGTTTTCTCTGGGTGCTCTGGTTTCCCCCACAGTCCAACACATGTGTTATAAATGAATTGAATAAACTCAATCGGCCGTAGTGTATTTGTGTGAATGAGTGTGTATGGGTGTTTCCCAGCACTGGGTTGCAGCTGAAAGGGCATTCTCTATATAAAACATATGCCGGAATAGTTGGCTGTTTATTCCACTGTGGCAACATAGAGACCAAGGAAAATTATTAAATGAAGCTGCTGGTGCTTTTTGCAGAAGTGTTTATGATCCTCCGCTGAGATTTTGAGAGATTTAATGTTTTAGTTGATTTCATCTGAGGCTGTTTGTCCAAAAAAGACATTATAATAACTTTCATTCTGAACCCAAAGTGAACATCATTTCAGCATCTTAACATCTAAAAGAAATATCTAAAAGGCGTCATTTGTACACAATTTTGCTTAGTGGGAATGATCTATGTATATTGTATTTTGTTTCTTCTTTTTACATTTTTTGTGTAAATGGACCCCTTTCACAAGCCTATTATGATATGTGTAACAGTCATCATAATCTTAAATCCTCGAAAGTTTTTAATATTTAGATTTTTTTTAAAATGTATAATTTAAATGTATCTAAGTATATATTATATAATATTTACTTCAAACGACAAAAAACTAATTACCGCTTGTGCGAGGCATTTCTAATGCAGCTTCTGGAGCAGGACAGTAAATATGACATGCCGTTTTCAGTCTCACAGTATTTTTTCCCTTTTTCTGAAAGTCTTGATAACACCATCATGGAGTTTTTCTTTTATTACTTCAGGGAATAAGATTGTAAAAAACATTTGTTGTATTCTCCCATTCACTGCGCTTAAAGTATTCCCAACTATGATGACTTCTGCTATAGAGAAACCCGTAAATGTGAAAAGGGTCTATATTGTCAAATGTTGGAATTATATTGAAAAAATGTCTGATACTCAGTTTCTCAAATAAGTGTTAGAACATAATATTTTAAACAGCTTAATAATGATCATATTATTTGTTTTATGATGTGTAATAGGGCTGCCTTGTTTAGTCTCGGCTGCAGGAGAGATTTGAGCTGCTGTATTTACATCATGATCATTAATATTTTTCTTTTGAAATATATGAATGTAAGTAACTGTTTGTCTAGAAGAGGAGGAGAGAAGATATACTGTGTATCTTACTAGAATAAAACCCATCTCCCGGTTATATTGAAAAATAATAATCATTGCCTTCTCCATAGACATCTGCATGTATTTTACAAACTTTATATTGTATGTTTTGCTAGTAGTTGTGTGTATTTGAATGTCTGAAGCAGCTCGAAACATTACACGCTCTGTGTCAGCCTTTTTAATTTAATAAATTTGCATTTTTGGAGCCTTGGTGTTGCCGCCTTTGATTGACATTTGCACTTTTTGCGGTTTTGGCTGAGCACCCAATTTAGAGAGATGTGCGTGCTTTTGTACAGTTTTTCAATACTTCAGGGACCAGCCTAGGCTGATCAAATCAGTGTGATTGCATGCGTGAAAGGGTTAGTTGTAAAAATCTGTCGGCTTCAGTTACCAATATACAGCATATTACTGTAAAAATAAATGCACTAAATAAAAACTTGAGTAATGTAACGAAGTGGCTGACAAAGAGGGATCCATTTGCAGTATATTTATTAAACACAGTTTAATAACAATCAGCACACAGATGTAATGTGTGTGCGAACTCGCATCAAACACAGTAGTGTATGATCGAAGGGCTGGTGGCAGGTAAACACAGGATGAGTATGCAGGCATGGGTCAGAGGCAGGCGGCTGATCTCAATATGGGTATGCAGGCTAGAGTTCAAGGCAGGCGGCGTGGATCAGAGTTGGGGTTTCGGCAAAGGTACAAGGCAAGCGGCAGGCAGGACAAGGTCGGTGATCAAAGCAAGGTAAGCAACGGGGAAGCAGTCAAGGATGAGAACCGCTAAGTAGTGGTGTTAGCCTGGGCAGAACAAGAACTGGAGTGTGTGAGCTGCTTATATGTGTAAGCGTGGGTAATTAATTGAATGAGCTGCAGGTGTGCATGCTGTCAGTGTAAGTGGATGACGTAATGTTAGAAGTCCGGTGATGATGACCTCTGCTGGCCAGCGAGGGGAATGACTGGGACCGAGTAGGTGACAAGTAAACTTTTAATTTCCAGAAAACTCAAATGAATATTATTATTGATATTAATATTATTCATAATGCTTTAGCAATGTAAGCATATTAGTACATTTTTACTTCATAGACCACAAAAATAAATATATTTTTTGAATAAAGTTATTGAATAATACAAAAAAAAGACAGAAAACATCAATTTAACTTCAAGAGCAAAAATTAATTTGCAATTGCAATTGCAGTTACTCTCTTTAATGCTGTGTAACTTCAGTTTAACAAACTGTATTATGCCATTTATGGTAGAGAACTGTAAAATAACAGATACATATTCCTGCTAACTGCAGCTGTTAGTATTTTGCAATTAATTTATGGGGCTTACCCATTTCTGGTGGTGGGCTGTTAAAAATTTTAGTCAAAGAGACTATATTAGCTTTGCATCCTGTCATTTCAATAACACTTGTTTCATAAAATCTAGGAAATGTAATAGGGTCTCCAAAGTCAGGTAATGATAGTACTCCTGTCTTCAGATTATAGTCAGCATGCCACATCTCCTCATTATCAATTCCATGCATATCCTCTCCATCAACTGCTTGCATACCCTCTTCGTCTGTATAAGAGCATCCATGAATTGAAAAATAATCATGTACAACTGAAAGAGAATTGGCATTAGAAAAGTTTAGTTTATTAAGTTTTAGTTTAATTACAGTATTAGCTTATTTATACATGAAATAGGAATGATGTGGTGTTCTTCTACATAGTTCAACTCTGAAAATTAAAAAAAATTCAATGTTGAGTTTTCATCTGGTTTGAACCTTAACACAGACGTAGTGATTAATTTAATGATATCATTAAGTGATTAATTGAGTGTTATTAATAATTTCTGATAAACACCTACTGTTAACAAGCAGAACCACTGAAGGAACACAAAACTACAACCAACTTCTGTTTGTATCAAATAATACATAAAGACAACATTTTATGATTTTCTTTTTATTTATCTTGTAACTTTACTGACTTGCTAAATTAAATTGCATTAAATTAATCAAATTAATTGAATCTTAACAACCATTGTTAAATTAACATTCCATTAAGCACATTTCTTATGTCAAAGTGTCAAAAAAATTATAAAATCTATTATAATCTTTTTTGGACTTTAATCACAATCACAGATTCAATCAATGAAATAAAACACACTGAATCTCTCGACATCTCAGCAGAGGATCATTAAACAACTCTATTAACATCATAAGCAACTTCACTTATTACTACCCTATTTGACTTTATTTTAGACGTCTCTAAGAACTAAAAGTTCATTCGTTCATTCATTTTCTTGTCGGTTTAGTCCCTTTATTAATCCGGGGTCGCCACAGCGGAATGAACTGCCAACTTATCCAGCAAGTTTTTTACACAGCGGATGCCCTTTCAGCCGCAACTCATCTCTGGGAAAGAGAACTAAAAGTTATAACTTATTAAAAATGTTTTCAGAAGTCACCATTATTTGCTTTACTTGGTCTTTTTGATCCTTTATTTATCATGTTAATTTGTTGAGGTTTCGTGTGTAAGGATGTTAAGTCTCTCCAAATTATTAAACCCTGAGAACTGTTATGGAATTCCACACAAGACACAGCCATGAGAATTATTAGGCACTAAAACAATAAACTTTCTAATCTGAGAAGAAGATCAGTTTAGAAACCAGTTTTTCAACTGTCTTGATCACGCATCCTCTGCCCTCAGCTTTACCTCTACCTTTACCTTTAACTCTCCACCAGAGCTGCTCACTCACATTCCGCTCAGAATGTCGCAAGTTTTTAATATAGTGTATCTTGTGGCTCTATATTTATGTTTGGTGTCATTGTAAATGTCTCTGTGTGATTGGTAAGGTGGTCTTAATTTCACTGTAATATTTTACTTTTTTTTTTATATCTGTTGATTTGCGTACATCAACTCAAGATCAGGCAAGGTATGCTGATTTGAGTATTTAGGCAAAAGGTGCAGAAGTGTCTGTGAGATCCTGTTGCCAGGATACCCTGTTGCAATGTATGAGTCTCTGAGCTCTGCATCGAGGTATGAATGCTGTAAAGTACTTCTACATTAGCTTATTTTGTTTATTATGTGAATTAGAATGGAAAATCTTTGCCTGACAAAAAAAAATGAAAATTCTTGTATAGCTCTAATATCTTCCTGAAATCATTCCTTAAATCAAGTAGATTGTTTAGGCTGATGTTTCTGCAGCCTACGACCAGGATTGCTCATACACTCGGGCATAATGGATGGAGCATAGGCACAACATTAGATACCTGTTGATTTCTGACAATCACTGATTTAGTATGATATAATCTAGCGGCTAAATCAAACTTTATGTATGAGCAGGCATGGGGCGGCCTTATATTACTTAAAGGAAATTAGTTTACAGTTATATCCTATATCTAAGAACCAAAACTAGTGAGGTTTTGTCCTTGAGCAGATCTAGCCAACATACTGTAAGCAACTTCGGTTAAACAATGAACCAGAAAATGTAAATAAGTATTTATTAGGTTAGACGATCTAAATTAGACCAAATCACAGCCTATAAGGGATTAAGCTTGAATTAGATGAATCTAAATTTTAATTATTATAAATTGGAGTCAGATTAAATTCAGAATTGGAAACCAATTAAAATAAATTTTAACCAATAAAAATATTTCTTTTCACATGTGCTGAAAAGGCTTACATGCTTTTACCCTTCACCCATGCTGTTAGTTCCATCATTGGGCTAATAGATGGACCCTTACATGTGTTATGGCATTGCTGCATCAGATTTACTGTGGTAGTTTTGATTCCCTCATTGAGTCAGTGGTTTAGTTTTGTATTGTGATGATAACATTATTATGATTTCATTAAGCTGCTAATAGAAATCATGTGATTCTGCATATTAAGCAGTGCTTTGATCAGGTTTTAAAAACACATTGAACATCTGAGCTCTTTAAAACACACAGACATCAAGATTCAGCTTATGAGTTTTGATGGTGACAAATGTCTTGCCACAGTGAATGCTGCAAGAATCATAAAACACTCATATGACTCCCAGCATGCGCTGTGCCAAGAAAATTTGTTACCATCATTAGGACTCATAAGCTAATTCTGTTTTTTGGGTGATTGGGGTGGTCAATGTGCTTTCAAAACTTGACTAAAGTATTGCTGGATGTCATTCTACCATTAGCTCAATGTAATTTACAACACAGTACCTTTATTTTACACAATTAATCATCCCTGACTTAATTCACTGGAATTATTATTCTGTTATTTTTCTGACAAAAAATAATAATCAGATTGCTTCTTATTTTTCTTGCCATACCATACAGTCACAACAATGTAAAACGAGCTAACTTTAAGGTGCAGAGACTCCAAAAAAAGCAACCCTTCTTCACCACAGTGATGACTTCTGAAAACTCATATTTTCAATAAAACAACAAAAATATTAATCTTAATAATTGTGAATGAAGGCTTTTTTAGATGTCTGACAGAAATAAAGTCAAACAGATTATTTATAATTGATGCGGCTGATGTTTTTTAATGATCCTCTGCTGAGATTTTGAAAGATTAAATGTGTTTTATTTCAGTTCATTTAATCTAAAGCTATGACTGAAATTAGTTGTAGCATTGTGTTCCATCAGTGATTCTGCTTAATAAAAGCAGGTGTTTTTCATCTATTTTTCAACACTCATTATTCTCGTTAGTTCTTGAAACTGTTAAAAACCATTATTTGAGGTTGCAAACCTGATAAAAAATCAATGCTGAGGTTTTCAACTTGTCGATCTTCAACTTGTTGATTCATTGATAAGTCAATAAAGGTCTGCTATCTGGGTTGTTACTTTCTTGTAGAAAATTGCAAAATACAAACTTTTTTTAATTTTATGACATACTGCAATGATCTTGTTTTGAAACAATGCTTAAGCAAAATTATTTATTTAAATCTGCAGCAAACAAACATGTTTTGAACTGATGTAAAAAAAAAACATTTAAAGTGATTAAAAATGTTTACTTACTTTCAGCATGAGTTGAGAGAAGGGTGGTTAAGGTGAAAAGGGTCATGTACAGCTCCATCTTTATAACAGCTGAACACATAAAACTACTCAGGTGACAAACACAGGTGTTATTTCCTCTGTTTGGGCTTTTGCATCGTCCACTCTGATTTTAACCCACACACTGACATCATTGTCTCTAGGAGGAAGAAGAAAGTGTTTGTTTAGCTGTCAAGCTGCTTGCTAATCTAATCTAGTCGTATCTAATGTTATGATTCTTTAAGTCTACATGTTAATTGAGAGAATTTTCTTATGGATGTTCGCTTTACAATGGAATAGCACATCATTTCCTATGTCTTTATGAATATTAACAAAGTTGAATGTTTATGGGCCTCGATTATACACTGCAAATTTTAGATAGTAGATTTAACTACCCTAAATCTTATTATATTAACACCACAAAGGATCATATGAACACCACTCAGTGTTATGTGACCTAACACTCTTAGGTCAAATTTTCAACACTGCAGAGAAATAAAAATATATCTTATTTATATACGCAACACTTTATTAACTATTTGGTTAATGATTAAGGAAAACAACTCAAAACACCGTCACAACCCGTATTTTCTTGGATTTTAACCAAAAGAAGTTTTAAGACAGCTTCATTTTCTTTAGTTTTATTGTAACACAACTAAAACAGAATAAGATAAATATGATAAATTATGCTTTTTTGTGAGATATTTAAAACTAACGTATATATAACAATTTAGATGTCTAATCCCTATATACAAAACATTTTAAATACTTTTACTTACCAGTTGCTTCTTTTCATTGCTCCTTGTGGCAAAAAAAAAAAAAAAATGTCTGGAAAAATCCTACAGGGATATTGTTGCATAAATTCCCAGATGTAGTTGTCAACAGTACACTGTATTAGCATTAGATACATATAACTCAGTATGTCAAGGAGGAAAATCAGCTTCTAACACTGAGAGTGTTGTTTTATCCTTATCCAACTCTAGAATTTTTATTCTAGAACACTTTACTCTGAATTACAGCAACACTCGAAAATTAACACTAATGAATTTGCTGTGTATGTTCCATCTTCTTTTAATTAAAGGTAACTGTGTAGTTACTAATTCAGTGAAAATCTGTTTGCTAATTGTAATCACACATGAACACATTAACACATTTAATGACTTTACATTTTTGTGATCTGAGCTATAACAATACTCAATACCAATATGCTCACGTTGTTATTGCTCAAATGTTTATAAATGAACATTGTATCAGTTCATGAAATACGGTTATTTTTCGTAAATTTAAACAGTTCAATAAAACTTCTGTATTTTTTCAGAAAATTTTCTTTCAACCACAGCTGCCGGTATTTTTCAGAATATTTAACAGATTTTTTTTTTTTTTTTTTGTGGTCATGATTGAAACAATGTTTCAATCCAGGTTGGGGTTTCTTTAGTGGTCATGTGTTACTTTTAACCAAGTAATGTATTCTTTTTACAACTTTTTAAGGAGTATAGGCTGTTTGAGAGAGGAGGGCTGAACATTAACATATGTATAAGTGGAATTTATGAATAATGAACTTAAAAAAATAGTTTGTAGAAGTGGAGTAAAGGAGATTGCTATTTATTTCTTATTATTGCCCATTCTATTATTTTGCAATTCATGGATGCTCTTATACAGACGAAGAGGGTGTGCATGCAGTTGATGGAGTGGATATGCATGAAGTTGATAATGAGGAGATGTGACATGCTAACTATAGTCTGAAGCAGGGAGGTCGTTCGACCCCAATTACTAGGGCACGTGAAGCAGGCATAACAGTCTTTTTTTGTGGAGGTGTTTGCACGCACTGAGTTTTGCAAGTCCACGAAACAAAGTTGAAATAATATGATGGAGATCTGATTTGGACTAAGCATGGCTCCTGATTTTTTAGTATGAAGCAAAAAAGAGGGATGATGAGTCCAAAGATAAAGCTCAACAAACATAATTCTCGGCCATGAGTCAGGTCTAAGATAACACACAACAGATAATTCTATAATGTATATACATCCCATAATGTAAAGAAGTTGTCATTTAATAAGAATATGTGAATAACTCAATTTGAAAAAAATGTCAAATAGAACCTTATAATTCTGAGGTGACGAGTTAATAAAATAATATTTTCTGTTTTTAGTAGAGATATTATATGAGAGTCTTGCTTTGTTTACCTAACAAGTGGATCTAGATGGATTAGCATTGTAAACATAATATAAACGTGAAAAAAAAAACAATTATTTTTCATTTCATGTATTAAGTTTTTAGTTACGGTACTACCAAAATCATTCTGCATAAATCTGCAGATTTTTTACAAAATTATCCGCAGAAATAGAAAAAAATGTCAGCAGATTCTGTCTGGCCCTAGTGATTACTTAGAGCAATTAAGCAAACAACCTGTTTACATATTGGCTCTAAGCATTGAAATTTGAAGAAATCTTCTTTTGCTTGTCAACAACTGTATACAGTACTGCAGTAGTGTTACAAATTTTTAATCTGTAATGAAAATAAACATTTAAGGTCCAAATGAGCATTGGATAGTAATGAGAAAGTGTTTTTTCTTTCTTTTTGGAATAAAAGCAGTATGCTGCCTAGCAACACTTGACACATAGGCCTGCATAAACTGGTTAAACAGTTATCATAGACGTCCATGTTCAGCAGCATTCACTTTGTATTCAGCGTGGCTAAAATGTCACAGAAAAAGCTCTATAGTTCTCTCATATTGATTTTGGCTCTATTCTTTGTAGGGGAAAGTGGTAAGTAACATGAGTGATATTAAATATAAACTATCATTATACTAAAAATAATAAAATAATTGTTGTTACCAGCAGTATTAGTTAATTATATTGCAACATTTTTTTAAGAAGAGCAACTAAAGCAAATGTATTCTTGACCAGTATTATTTTAAAGACATTAATGTACAGCAACTGGCTGATACATCTCAATGCTTGTTGAAATAATTTACTGACTGACCAATCCACCTGTTTCCTTTTCAGCTAATGTATATTACATGTACCGTGTATCAAGATGCATCTTCAGCTCCTCTAATATCAGTGCCATGGTGTATTTTGACCGCACGTATTTCAATAAAAATCTATTCATACAGTTTAACAGCAATCTGGGGAGGTTTGAAGGGTTTAACGAGTATGGATTAAAACTTGCAGAGTTCTGGAACAATGGAACATTTGTAGATCAGGAGAAAGACGTTGTGGAATTTTTCTGCAAGTATAATTCTCAAATCTATGAAAACAGCATCTTAGATAAAGCAGGTATGTGGCATAAAAGTCTCTGATATTTATTTTACTTGCTTGCTGTAAGATGAAAGTGCTAACCATCGATTTATTTATATTTATTTATTTATTTATTTATTGCCATACATGACATGGCTTACTTCTCTTGACATCATAAGCTTTATTTTTCAAGAAGCTTTGGTAGCATGGTGGCTCAGTGTTCACCGCTGTCGCCTTACAGCAATAAGGTCGCTGGTTTAAGCACCGGCTGGGTCAGTTGGCGTTTCTGTGTGGAGTTTGCATGTTCTCCCCGTGTTCACGTGGGTTTAATCAATTTTGAAATAATGAGCTTTAAAGTTTTTGCATTCCATATAGCAAACAGTATGTGTGTAACATTTGTTTATTTAAATAAAAAGTCTTAAAATGTAAACAACTTATAAAAAACATCCCATAATGTTAATAATTTGTCATTGAATAAGAATTGAATTTTGATAAAAATGTCAATAAGAACCTTATAATTCTAAGGTGACAGTATGTGTGTAAATGATCTGCAGTACTGGGTTGCAGCTGGAAGGGCGTCCGCTTTGTTAAACATATGCTGGTTGAGTTGTCAGTTTATTCTGCTGTGGTGACCCCTCATGAATAAAGGAACTAAGCCGAAGAAAAATGAATCAATGTATAAAATACTGTTGCATTGGTAAAATAATACTCAATTACAAGTAAAAGTACTATGACAAAAAAGTACTCAAGTAAAAGTACAAAAGTAGTCTACTAAAAAAACTATACTCCAAGAAAAAAAAATAGTTAAAACTACAGCTTTTTTTTTTTAAGTGTACACTATTTTACAAAATACTTTTAGAGATTTAATTGAAGTCTAATTAAAAATTAAACTTTGGCCTGCACAATGAACAGATTCTAATTTAGGCTTTTATTTACATATAAACATTGATCAATTACCATAATATTGAGTTATTTTATTTGCACATTATGTGAATTTCTGTTTTTTTTCTTTTTCTTTTTTTTTTAACAGCACACAGAAGTTTAATTCAGACTTGATATTAAACTTATTAGAACATTTATTGGCTTTAACCTGTACAGTCTGTACAATATAATAATGCTCTTAGGTAGACTATAGTTTAGCTATATGTACAGATCATACAATTACCTCAGTTTGAAACATTTATTGAATATATATATATTTTAAGAAATTTAAAAAAAAGTGATGTTATGAAAAATGTCTTTCTTATTATGTGATAAAGCAAAACACATATGAGCAAACAGGACCTTGCTCTCCCCTTATCAAACAAAGAGTGCTGTGGAGCTTAGTCTATTAGTCCAATCCACAGTACAAAAACAATTTCAGCCCACACAGAACTCACAACTCATAAAATTGTTTGATTTGGGTGAGTTCTTTTTGATTTGAAGGGTATTTTTTCTAATATATTTCCCAAATGATGTTTAACAGAGCGAGGAAATTTTCACAGTATGTCTGATAATATTTTTTTCTTCTAGAGAAAGTCTTATGTTTTATTTTGGCTAGAATAAAAGCAGTTTTTAATTTTTAAATACCATTTTAAGAACAAAATTATTATCCCCTTTAAGCTATATATTTTTTGATAGTCTACAGAACAAACCATCATTATACAATAACTTGCCTAATTACCATGACCTGCCTAGTTAACCTAATTAAACTAGTTAAGCCTTTAAATGTTTCTTTAAGCTGTATTGAAGTGTCTTGTAAAATATCTAGTCAAATATTATTTACTGTCATCATGGCAAAGATAAAATAAATCAGTTATAAGAAATGAGTTATTAAAACTATTATGTTTGGAAATGTGTTGAAAAAATCTG